AGGCACGAGGGGCAATTCGAATAATACAAGCTTCGTACCTATTTAGGTCATTTAAAGCCAAGAGATCAGAAGGCATTGAAGACATGGATATGATGACGAAAAGGAGTCCAAATTCAATATTAAATACCCAATACGTTAGAGAATTGGTATTAAATAGGAATGATTGTGTAACGTCTTATTTAATATCATTTATTGCTCATAATTATCCCATTAAGACTAAGGTATTACTCCTTTACTTAGAATCAACTATAAAAGGAGGAGGTCTCGTCATTTGTAAGGACAAAGGATATCAAAAATATTACATTGGAATACAAACATATTTACTGCTTATTTGTCATTCTCAAAAAGTCCATTATTTCTTTTTCGTCTCCTGATTACCAGTAGCCCGAATTTCTATTTGTCTTTAGCTTTGACCAAAGAATCACATTTTTGGTTAAACATTAATGTCAATATATAGCGCAGTGTGCGAATGGTTGTGAAATGTTAGAAGGAGTACAAAGCTTTAATTGCTTGGGATGTTTGTAGATCAGTTTTCTTTTCTTTCATAATGTTAAAATTGTTCTGTTGCCTGAGATTAATTCTCGAGATCTACTTGTTGTTAATGGATCGATAAGATTATTGTTCCAATAGATATCTCTTCTATAGAGTTTATTAATATCTAAGCTCATTAGTTTACCCCCATATCTATCTGAATGATCGGTCTTAACTCAGGAAAAAGATTGCAGGTGAAACTAATGTGAAGTTCTATTTAATCAACTTGAGAAAATAAGAAGATAAATCAAAGAACTCATCCGTAGATTTAAAGGCTGTCAAATTTATTTAGGTCTACGGGAGAAAATGTTAATAAGGTATTTCAAGCTTTTTTGGAACTCGCTCCCGAAGCGAGACACTTTCAAAATGCCTTACACACATGTGGGGTTAGTTCTGTGAAGCTTACGCCCATCCCCCTTCAAGCGCCCGACTGTGCATCCTAAACACACCTAACATTCAACGCTCGGGACTCGCCCAATAGTTTCGATGCAAATAATGTGGTGAATTGACTAATTTGCACCGTTGACTCTCAAAATTCTTTAACAAATGAATAATTAAAGTTTTATATTTTTTTATTTGAATCTCTGGGAATATAAAAATTGTGAATAACTCAAATAACAAACATAGTATTGCATATTTACTAATTGAGAATATCGTGAGGGTGAATATCATTTGAATATTTTTCTAAAAATAGATAATCAAAATTTATCTCTTTACTTAATAGATCTTCATGTCTTAGTTCTATATCTCTCAAAATTATCATATATTTATTATTTAAAATAATTTTATATTTAATCATGAAGGAGTAATATTTTAAATTACAATGTTGATAAAATTTATTGAGTATTTACTTTTAAGGAGGTAAAATATGCAGTATGATAATATTTTTTAAGAAATTATGATTTTTAATTGTCTGACAGCCAAGACGTTGTAGTTAGTTTATATTTCATAGTAACTTTAACAGTATTGTATTATTTATACTTGTAAAACATGCTAAATATTTTATTTTATATGATTTTTTTCTTACTTTTTTTTAGTTTTCTTGAACTTTTAATGTATCTTTTATAAAAATTTGTTTGGTTATAATGCTATAATATAAATTCATAAATTTAAAAATTTAAAGATCCGTGGGGATTTTGTCACATGTTTCAAAGCTTTTGCCTCGACCCGTATTAAATAAAACGTCCTGCCTGATGCTCTCGCCTTTTAAAACATTGGTTTCAATGAACATAAAATACTAATAATTCTTGATATATATATATTTATGTATATTGTCAAAATTAATGAAGAGAAATATCGAGACAACATAAGTTGCCCATGAGATAAAAACAAAACGAAGTAGACTATATCGTGTTCTCCTTCAACGATTTGGTGACATTCATATGAACTCACATTACAAAGCACTCCAATAATATACATCAAATTTATCCGTCTCCAACTTCATCAAGTATGATCTGAAGGTTGATAAGAGTATTCAAATCTACCTACTACAAATTAAAATAACCTTTGGTTAAAGATATTTATATTTTATTTGTTGCTAAGGTAAACTAAAAAATATAACAGAAAAAGAATGAAGGCCAAAGTATTGGTGGATCTAGAAATTGAATATCGAGACCTTAATATGTTAATTTATCTAAGGATCATGAAAGTGAAATGGCTAAATAGTGTGGCTGTTGGTTTTCACAGTTAATCTAGGGATAACACTTATTGTCCATTAAGAAATTAAACAACCAAGTTAATTAAGACATTGACACAAATTATAAAAATTAGGAGAAGGTGACGTACTTGTGGAAGAAGAGTCCAATAGTCGAAATTGTGAGAAATACTTGAGTGACTAAAGAATGAAAATGGGAACTCACTTGTGAAGGTTGGGCTTAGGAGAAGGTTGGAAATAATTCAATAAAATAAGAATTCGAGAGAAAGAATTAATTTGATTGGTTACATATATGTAGGAATTTCAAGACTCAATATTATACATAAACTAGTGAAGTTGGCCGCGCTTCGCACAGGCATGAATAACATCATCATTAAATTTTCAAAATGATATTTTTGACTTTCTCTGGAAAAAATTCATGCAACCTGACCGATATTTTACTAATTTGATTTTTTATTTTCTTGCTCACTTAGAGTTATTAGTTTGACTTCAATATACATTCGATCAACATTTAATAATTTAAAAAAAAAAAAGTAACTAACAGATAACCTTCTTTACAACGTGAGCCAGATTTATTCCTATTTCCCACACAACCACCTTACAGACCGAAGCATCTGGCCAAGATAATAATGTGTTTCATATTTATAAAATGCTTAGTTTTATTTCTCAAAATAATTGGAAGTCAATCTTTGATCGACCCGAATTCAATTCGACTATCAAATTCATTTTTCAAGGGATAATAAATTCTCCAAAACTTTAAAAAATAAATAATAATATAGTCGTTGATCTTAGGTCTATAAAGAGTTGAAGGTACCTTCCCCTTGTTACTTTTTTTTCTTTTTCTAATACTATAGGGTAGCATCCCATCGTTATATTTACTTTTAATAAGACAGGGTACCATACCTTAGTTACATTCTTTTCAGTAATACAATACTTTCCCCTGGTTATATTTTCTTTTAGTAATACAAGGTAGCATCCCCTGGTTATATTTTTTGCTTAGTAGAACTAGGTACCTATTGGGATATACTATTAATCATGCGGATTAGCTATAGTATTATATTTTATTCTTTATGAAATAATTATTTATTTAATTTATTCAATTCAATAAAAGTATTATTTTAAATAGATCATTTGTTATATATGTATTCTTTAATTATGTAGTAGACGATTTAGTGTATGGAGTCTTAGCTCATGCACGTAAGATTAAATTGCCAATTCCCATAATTAATAAATTATGTTCAAAATCGAGGGTATTGTTAGGAAAAATATCTTGACGATTGTAGCACAATATTAAAGTATAATTTATCTTGATTATGGAGTGGTTTTACTCCAACTTCTCGTGCTAGTATATATAACGAACCAAGTAGAGAAAAGATATTTTTGTACTGAATATATAAAACATTCTCTCTGATTCATTAAATGAGCTTATACTCCTAATCTTAATATAGTTGTTATGATCAATGTGATTTATTTATTGTTTTGATTTATCAGAATGTACAACTCTATTTTAAATTAGTGTATGCCTGATAGATTGGACAATAACAAATGACATTTGTGAAATAATAATTAGTTGATAGAATCCATGACTCGACCTTGAGTTTGATAATACCCATTTATGTAAGCTTATAAGTTTTCATGTGAAAACTCGGTCGGTGGATTTTGTATCCGTCACATGAAATAGTTTAAAGCGAAATTATAAAGGATTTAATTAGTTGGTTAAATTAAATTGTTAGTGATTTAGTTTAATTAATTGGTAATTGTAATCTTAACATGGGAGTTAAAATAAGTTTGATGAATTTTGAAACTCATATTGAGGAGTTCAATTGCAGTTCTTTTAGTGGAATTAAACTGTCATTAATTATAATAGGATTTAATTCGTCCAAAATTTTTGAATTAATACTATAATTGGTAGTCTCTTATAATTTCTGTGGTCCCTGCTATACTTAGTAAAACTTTAACAAACTTGGGAAGAAAGTTACATGGGAGAAAAGTTCTATGTTTGAGTTGGACTAGGATTTTACTACACTAGCAAAATCCTACACGATTTTGGCCTTTTTTTTTTTTACTTAATTGCGGGTCTACATACTAGTTTCACCTTATAACTCATTCTTCAGAGTAGTAGTATTTGTCCACACATATATTTTCGTCCAAGGCCTACTATGAGCATAGCAGAAGATTGCAGTCATGAATTCTTGCTCGGCGAATGATTTGTGCAACAATTTCAAGAGGTTAGTGCTTCTAATCTCTATAACTAAATCATTGTCAAGATTATATATATGTGATACATGTTTCGCTGCGCATGTTCTAACAAATGTGATTTTAATAATTATTTTGGTTGATAATCTCTTTTTTCCGTTAACATTTTAATTAAGTTCCAGTATAATATTCTTAACTTTCGACCTTGAAAATGAGAAAATCCTAGATTTTAGTTGGACTTAGGATGCACGAGTATGCTATTAGAGTTGCAATTTAGTGGTTACAAATTTATACTACATCTAAGGGTATTCAAGGAAAACCAAAAAACTCCATCAAATTAAAATTTGATCATGACTCAATGTACATAAATTTATGTCAAGGTTGTCATCACGAAACCTGAAGGGCAGTTGTGTGACATCTAGATTTTGAGTTTGAGCTGTTGATTCTCCACAAAATCTCCAACACTAATTTCTTAAGAAATTAATCAACAAACATATGAAGTAGTGGAGGTTTTTTTATTTCAAAAGTAAAAGGGCCAAAATATTCTTGAACAATTTGAAATGGGACAACTTGTCTTCCAACAAAGATAAACTTTATCCTATTTGGAATGTTCTAAGACAATCTCGCCCGGTGTTATAAAGTAAATAAAGGGGAGGTGTTAACCAAATAAGGATCTTTTTTATATTTGTGTTTCTCTTCTTAAAATTTGAATAAGGCCCGAATTGAACAGACCGAAATAATTAGGGTCGGGTTGCAGAAAATGTCGGCATCAGCTTTACCGGACGAGCTATGGAGACGAATCCTTGAAATCGGAATTGAATTCTACAACTTCAACTACAAAGATCTTTGCTGCCTCTCCATAACTTGCAGACGTCTCAACCGACTCTCCGACGACGATTCTCTTTGGTCCTCTTTGTTCTCCGCCGATTTTCCCCAATATCCTACTAAGCAACATCGTTCGTCTTCTTCTGTCTCCAATAAATCGCTCTACAAAATAAGGTATATATGCAGTACTCAAATTTTATTTATACATGTGTATGTGTGTGCTGTTTTAGTGTCTCTACATCATATAAATTCTTAATTTTGCACTCAGCTTTCCCACGAGTATTTGAAAGTTAAAATCACTTGGGGAAAAAATTTAAACTTTGCATGTGCAAGCTCGTCAAACTAGTTTCAGCTTCAAATTCTCTATTTCAATTTGAAGTTGAAATAGTGGAAAGTATTGTAAAATAAACATTGAATTACACATAATATGACAGTATTTGCAAATGATATGTATGTCCAAATATTCTGTGATGGCCAGCAGTCATCAAAGACACCACACTTGTATGCCGGTAAAAGCTTACCCGCACCCGCATTTACACCAAATCATACTAATTTACCATGATTAGGTCATAACTTAAGGTGACAACTGTATTCATTTACTATTGTTTAGTGATAAGTGAAGACACGTGTCATGTATTCATTGGTTTCGTGTAAACACTGGGTGCAGGTAAGTTTTTACCCTTCTATATCTTCTATTCTCAGCCATGTCATCTCATCTTCCTGTTAATGTTACCTTCTCTGGAAAATCTTTTGATGGGAGTTCATTAATTGGTTGTTGACATCAACTAGATATGAAAAAATCCGAGAACAGAAGGCTTTGGCCCATAGAAGGGCCGTTTTAAGAATTCAGAGTGAAATTAATGAGCATTCTAGGAGGATTCGGGAGATGGAACTTCGATCTGCAGAGGAGAAAGAGAAGATGAAGAACACTGTTGCTGAGTTTTTAAATTTGCGTAAAATCAGGTAGTGGACAGAAGGCTACTCGTATGATGTTATTTATTGTTTTTGTTTCGCAATTTTGCTTACAATACTGGGGATGGGGTCTTGCTTTAACAAAACAGCTGGTTGCTCGCGTTTGAAAACCTCACAAACAGAAATACAATTAGGAGATGATAAACTACATGTGTATGGTAGCTTGACAAACAACAACAACGACAACAACAACAACAACATCCCAGTGTAATCCCACAAGTAGGGTCTGGGGAGGGTAATATGTACGCAGACCTTACCCCTACCCCGAGGGGTAGAGAGGCTGTTTCCAGGAGACCCTCGGCTCAAGAGAGCAACAAGAGACAATATATTAGTACTATCAATAGACTCATAATAAATAACATAAAATACATAACATAAAATAAAAAAATAACAACAATATAAGAAATATAGGAAATACGAAAAGGATGGAGAAAAGGATGTAAGGTATACTAATATCCAATAGATACAGCCCTGCATCAGTAGCTGATCAGTAGCATCCTAAGACTAACTCCTAAATGGCTAGTCTCACTCTAGTGCGCTGTAGTAATATTCACAACAATATAAGAAATATACTCCCTCCGTTTCAATTTATGTGAACCCATTTGACTGGGCACGGAGTTTAAGAAAAGAGAGAAGACTTTTGAACTTGTGGTGTAAAATGAAGCACATATATTTTGTGTGGCTATAAATCATTGCATAAAGGTAAATTGTTTCCAAATAGGGAAAGATGTCATTCTTTTTGGCACGGACTAAAAAGGAAATAGGTTCACATAAATTGAAACGGAGGGAGTAGTAATATTCCCTGTCAAGGGCCATGTCCTTAGAAATCCTAAGTCGTGTCATGTCCTCAGAAATCCTAAGTCGTGCCATGTCCTGCCTGATCACCTCCCCCCAATACTTCTTAGGTCTCCCTCTAACTCTCCTCGTGCCCACCACAGCCAGTCGCTCACACCTCCTCACTGGTGCATTATGGTAGCTTGACAAAAAAGAAAACAATTACATGTTTATGTATTCCAGTTTGTGCAGAGAATAATGTTTTATACAAGAGCAGTACGATCTTGTTTGCGTGTTTGTTTGTAGAAGCTTCGTTATTCTTTGCTAGTCAAAGAAATATGTAAAATAACTCAGCTGATGTTTGACTTTGGTATTGATTTGCTTCTATCAGGCAAGCCTCAGTTGCACTAAATGTTTGGCAGCCGGAGGTTGTCCGAGGTAAGCAAAAGCAGATAGTTGAGCAATGCAATGTACCTGTTAACAATCGTATCCATGCCATTGAGATGGAGCTCAAGCTTTGCAAACAGCAAGTTGAAGGGTTTGAGAAGGCCCTTGTAAGTTTACGTCTATTTTATGGAGAACAATGTATCATTCATCTAATTGATGAACTGCATTATAATCTTTTCCTTTGTATTATTGCAGAGAGTTGAAAAAAGGAGAATGCAAGCAGCAAAGGAAAAGCTGGCTTCAGTAGAATATCACCCCTTGCGAGATTTTAACTTAGCAGTCACACCGATTGCTGAACAGGCCATGAGAAAAAGATTAAGAACATCATCAAGTGTAAATTTCTAAACCTTTCTACTTTTTCCACGCAATTTGAGTTGTTGTTTTTAGGAATGGTAAATGCTTGTTACTTGAGTTGGGATTGCAAGAATGCTGGGGGTGGGGATGGTGAGAGCATCTTTGTTTTAGAGTGATACAAAAGCTACGTGGATATAGGAGTGGCTTTTCCAGATTGTCAACTTTGTTTTAGAATGATACAAAAGCAAAGTGGAGAAAAATATTGCTATGGAAGGGATGGTGAGAGCATGTACTGATCTCGAGATATCAGCATATATCTTTTAATGGTACTATATAGGTAATCTGGAGAAAATGTAGTGGTGTTTTAGTCATCCACTTACTAAGAAAGCGGTAGCGAGTTAGCTTGTTTGTTCATGAGGGTGATTTTTTTATTTTCTCCGGCTCTTCACCCTTCTCTTTTCCTTTTTGGTTGTTGTTGGTGGTTACTATCAATTTGATAGCCCATTGGTTCTGATTGCTGGATTACTGTATTTATAATCTCGGTTGCAAAATTGGTGATTCCTTAAATCTGTTGAATATCTCAGAAGGAAACTAGGAGTTGATGCACCATTGAATTGGATGAGTTACTCATGGCAAGGAATCTTCAAATTGGTCTACATGGCAATGGATGGTACAATGCTGCTGTTCAGCCTATTTGCATCTCTGTCCAAGCTGCACTGATTTTGCAGTTGCTGTGTTCCTGTTGATTTTTGCTAAGTATGGGCTATGGCAGATTCGGTTCACCTCGGGTAATTTAGAAACAGATATATGTGATAATTGGAAGGGGAGTATGATGTGTGATATGCTCGACCATGGGGAAGGGTGTTCAAGAAATGGAGGATTATTCTTCGGAGTCTGAAAAAGAGAGCAAAATGCATGTTGTGCAATTGGAAGGGGGACTGTAGGGCTATTTTGGATTATCCAGTAGGATGCTGATACATGAAAACACAGGTTGGTTGAGAAACTTTACTTTGTGACTCACACAACTGACACAAATTGTGCGGGGTTGTCTATGTTGGACAAGTGGTGTTTTATGGAACTCAAAATGCCTCACACAACCAACACTTTTGGGTTCACAAACTCTACTTGTTATAAACAGGCAACCCTTTTAGGTCCCATAGTTTTCACTTGACAAACATAGGCAACCTTGTAAAAAAATTCGTCAGTATTGGTGTATTTTATTTTCTGATAATTTGCTTAATAGTCGAACCAAATAATGAAAAATGTCCTTCATAGAGAGAAAAATCCAGCCTTTTTTTGGATTACTTCGTTAATAATATCTACTTATGATTTGACTTATAATTAATCTAAGAATATATCGATCACATACAATTGTTAAATTGATTTACCTTAATAATAAAACTAATTTTTGTCACATAAAGGAGTACTTGAATATTATTACTATAACCATAAAATCTTTAAATTTTATTCATTGCAACAATAAAACTTACTTACAAGACAGATTTTACTGTTAGAATAAATAATCAAAAGTAGCCCGTTATTTGCTGGATTTTGACATCCAAGTAATGAAATAAAGGCCATTGTACGTAGTTATACAAGACATATGTCATTACGATTACTAACACTAATTAGGACGTAGTCGGGAAACCATTCTTTATTACTGAGCATTTTATACTACTATTAATAAGCGAGAACCGAGAGGAGCTTCCGGTTCAAGTGAATTTCCGAAAAAACTCATAGAATTTTACTTTATTCCATTTTTGTCCATGTTTTCTATTAGCACCCCCAACTTATACAAAAGCCCAACACCTGTGAATTCATATGGACAATTGTGTCGTATAAGAAGTCCTAATCATCTGCTCATCTTCTCTCCACCGTGGTCTCTATTTTTTTTGTGTCATTTTTTGATCTGCTCGATTGTTTCAGTTGCTTCTCTTGCCAGGTGAGTGCTAAAATTTGTTATTCACTGTTCAAATTGACAATTATTTGGGTCCTTTGTTGGGTTAACTCTGTTTTTGCTGATGTTTGTGTGGTTACTTCTTTTATGATTACTGCAATTTGTAGAGTCTTATATGTTTGAGTATAATGGGAAAAAAATTAAATCTGTGTTGATCAAAACTCTAGGAGTTGATTTTGCTTCCCTTTCGAGTAGAGGGATATCAAAGTATTGCGCTTTCCTCTGCCAGGAAGTAGTAAATTAGGAAGTTGATTTCAGCTTATCTTCTCAACAAAAGGGAGAAATTGCAGTATTCTTTTCAACACTATACCTGATCAAGTTTGCACTATACCTGATGCCTCAAAGTATTACCTGATAGTCTCTACTGAGTCTATTTATCCAGCAGAAAGCTGTAGCAATACAAGGTTTGTTTGCTGACATAAACTAACTACTTAATCTCTAATAAAGACCAAACACTGTGTGTATCGAATTTTAGCTTAATATGCTCATCCAGCCCAAAGATTTCAAGTAGAAGAGTTTACCAAGAGATAAGTGTTAAAGATAAGCAATTTTTTAGTTTATCCTTTTTAAATAGGAATTTTTATCTATCTATACCATATATCAAACCTTATTACCAAAAATGTTCATAATTTGTTATTTACTCGTGTAGTCCACACTTTTACTACAAATTATATACCAATCCAAAAATAGATAGATTTTGCCATAAAAAACGCGCTAAAATGAAGGCACCAGATCTGCGTGTGATTCTGTGAACATTAAATTCGAATTGCTGCGTAATTCTCTCCTTCCTCAACGGAAAGAGATCTCTCTTCTCTCACTCAACTACAATTCTCAAAAAACGCAAGCTACTGAAGCTCTAGTAATCAAACGGAAAGGAGATTTCTGTTCTTCATCTTCATCTGTTCTTCCATATATTTTCCACCATTGATAGCCATTAAAAAACTTGAAAGCTTTGAATTCAAATTTGGGTTTTCAAAAATCATTATTTGTTTGGA